ATTCACCCTGCGCTCCCCCTCTCCTGCTAGCTCCCAGGCTCTATGTGCATAGGAGCCGCTAATGAGGGCAGGGAGAGCCATTACATAAAGGTGTCTCCATCCATTGCCATTCGGCCCAGACCTGTTGGATTGCCTTTGCCCAGCTTCAGTACCTGTGAAGGTCAAGGCTGAGATGTTGAAGGACATGAGATCCCCCTGGCTAGGAAAAGAACAGATGACTTTACTGAAGGTATGGCCGCAATTTCTTCCTTTTAAATGGAGGTGACTGCACTGCTGTGATTTTTCAAATCAAGACCCTTTTGTTTAACAATGTAGTTAAACTTGAACCTCCACCACAGAAGATGATAGCAGAAAGGAGAGGGTTGAGAGCCCAGAACTAGGGTCACTAAGCATTTCCTTGCCCTGCGCAGCTCCGGTCTGATCTTATGCTTCAGGGAAGAAAATTTCGAAACCCACTGGATTAAGTGATCCCTCAAATCTTTTCCAGTATATAATTTCTGCTAAAAAAGAATTAACAGCAGAAACAACATCATATGTTTCGGAGTTTAAGCAGGAATCACTTGCAGGTTATCCATACCATTTGCTTCATTAAATTGGTGTAGCGCTCATATGCTTTGTGCCAAAACTGACTCCACTAAAAGCATTTTAGTCACTGCAGTTTTTAAGAATGATGTACATATTTTAAGAATCAGAAACCCTTGAGTCTGGCTTCCATCTTATTCCTTATGGCACTGAGAAGGATGTGGATGGAGCGTAGAGGACAGAAATGGCCTAGTCAGTCAGATGATGAGACAAACAGATTTTGTGGGGAAGAACCATAGGCTTCAGGGCCAGAAGGATGAAGGAATGAACAGGTCCACTGTTGGGCCTTCGCAAAGCTGTAGCGTTCATATATTTACCCAACATACTCAGTATGGCGGCATGCTAAGCCCCTGTGTAACACGAGCAAAGAAAGTGCAGTTCCTATCCACAGGAGATGCCGAGCCCAGTAGCGGGTAGAGCTGGTCAATGTATGCTCTTGCAACCATTGATAAGTAACAGGAAATAGGCAAAGTCTCATGAGGCTTGGAGTAGAAAGTAAAACATAAGTTCCGTGAAAGTAAGAGCTTTCTCTCTTTACTCATTGCCATAATCCTAGGGAGTAGCCTGGGTGGTGAGAAATGAGTGACACACTTAGCTGCTAACTAGAAGGTCGGAGGTTTGAGACCACCCAGAGGCACTTAGGAGTTAGAAAGCCAAGACCTGGAATTAGAAAGTCCAAAAGCTCAACATATCTTAAGCTGAAAGAACTGAGGGAAATAACTCAAGCCTCAAGTTGCAATAATAAAGGATTTTGTGGAATAATATTGAAAGTTGCAGAAAGGATCAAAAGAAGATGGAAGGAGTACTCACAGTACCAAAAAGAATTGGTTGACCTAAAACCACTTCAAGAGGTAAAATATGATTAAGAACTGTTGGTATTGAAAGAAAAAACAAAAAGCTACACTGTAAGCACTAGCCAGATGCAAGGTCCCAGGATGGGATTGATGGAATACCGATTGAAATGTTTCAACAAAATGACAAAGCTCTGGACTCACTCATTGGCCTGTGCCAAGAAATGTAGAAAGTAGTTACCTGGCCGACTGAGTGGAAGAGAGATCTATGTTTGCACACATTCCAAAGAAAGGTGAAACAACAGAATGAGGGAATTATCAAACAGCATTATTCATATCACATGCAAGTAAAATTTTGTTGATTGTTCAACAATGGTTACAGCACTACCTCAACAGAGAGTTGCCAGAAATTCAAGCCAGATGCAGACACGAGAGATATCATTGCTGACATCAGATGGATCTTGGCTAAAAGCAAAGAAGACAGAAAGGTTTGTGCCAAGGCATTTGACTGTGTGCATCATAACAAACTGTGGATAGCACTGTGAAGAATGGGAATCCCAGTACACGTCTTTGTGCAATGCAGAAACGATGCACACACCGGGAGGCAGCCATTTAAAAAGAACCAGGGAGCACTATGATTTCATGGTTCAAAATCAAGAAAGATAGGGATCAGGATTGTATCCTCTCACCATACTTATTTAGCATGTATGCTGAGCAAATCATCCAAGCAGCTGGACTTGATGAAGAAGAGTGTGGCATCAGGGTTGGAGGAAGGCTTGTTAAGAACCTTTGATTTGCAGATGACACAACCTTCCTTGTTGAAAGTCAAGAGAACTTGAAGTATTGCTGATGACAGTCAAAGACTAAAGCCTTCAATATGGATTGCAAACCAATGTAAAGGAAACAAAAACGCTCACAACTAGACCAATAAACACCATCAGGATAAATGAAAGATTGCAGTTGGTAAGGAGTTCCCTTTACTTTGATCCATAATTGACACTCATGGAAGCAGCAGTCAAGAACTCCAACCCTGTATTGCTCTGAGTAAATCTGCTGCACATGACCTCTTTCAGATGATCGAGGACAAAGGTGTCACCCTGAGGATTGGGGCAGTTGTGTCAACTTGTCTAGGCCAGGATTCTCAGTTGTTTGGTACCTAAGGCCTAGTCATCTCCCACGATGCGACCTAAACACAATGTAATCAACTCCATGATGGGGTCTACCAAGAACAGTCATCGGTTGTAAGAGCATTAGGGTGGAAGACAACCCCCTTACTCAGGTCACAGCCCTGTGCAATGAAAAGGAAGCCTAGTTACTATCTAAGTAGGCACTGTGGAAAAGCTTGCTTGCTTGTTGCTGGGTCTGAATCCTGCAGCTGTCTCATCCACCTCCAGGTATCTGAGCTCGAGCCAATGGTCTGCCATATTGCCTGCTAATCTGGGGAGCCATCAGCAGCCTGCACCGAACCTGCTGACCTTGGGTTCACCCTGCACCATAGCCAGTGGTCTTCTTGCTGATCCTGGCTTCACCAGCCCCTGGAACTACACAAGGCAGGAGAAGTCTCCTGCTAAACATAGGACCCAGGGACTTGGAACCTGCCTGGAGTTGAGAGTACCCCCAATTCTACAACCGGGTGAGTCATTTTCTTGATACAAATTTCTTTCTTTCTACCTCCCCCCCTGTGTTCTCTGTAGAGAACATGGTCTAAGACAAGGACTACAGTGAGTCTGACCCAAGCCATGGCCTTTTCAATCTCCTCATATGCATGTGAAAGCTGGACAACAGTACAGAAGACTGGAGAAGAATCAGCGCATTTGAATAATAAATGGGATTGGTGGTGAATAATGAAAGCACCATGGACGTCCAGCAGAACAAACAAGTGTCTCTCTGAAGAAGTACAGCCAGAACGTGCCCTAGACTTTGTCTCAAGTACTGTGGACATGCTATCAGGAGAGACCAGTCCTTAGGAAAAGACACCGTGCTTGGTCAAGTAGAGTAAGACCCTCAAGGAGATGGATTGACATGGTGGCTAAAACAATGGGCCCAAGCATACCAATGGTGAAGATGGCACAGGACTGGGCAGTGTTTGTCATAGGTACTCAGTGGCATCCAACAACAAAAGAGGTACCTTGGAAGAAAGGCCTGGTGCTCTGCTTCTGGGGAAAAACCAGCTACTGAAAACCCCGTGGGGCACTGTTCTATCAGAAAAACATAGGGTTGCCATGAATAGATTCTCACTCAAAGACAACTCGGTTTTCTTTTAAAAATAAAACCATTCCCAGAGCCTACAATAGTGCCTTACACAGTTTTGCCCCCACACAATGGAGGAATGATGGATTCTGCTAGTCAGAGTGATAGGTGCATGAGGCCCTGCAAAGAGAATTGGCTTGTCAACCTTCTTTCTTGGCCTTCAGAAGTCTGCCTTCAAGTGGTAGAGGAAGCAAAAAGTGCTAGGAGACCAAACATTAGCAAGTATGACTCAAGAAGCAGACTCGTGCAGTTCACGTAGAGTTCAAAGGGACACACCGTTGCTCTTGGCTTTTGGCTTTGGGGTGAGCCTGGAAGTTGCACATCGTCGATCAACCTGCCCTTGTGTGAAGGGTTGTGAGACCTTAGAAATGAGGCATGGGGCAGCTCCTGGGAAGGGAAGAGCAGGGCCCATGGGAGCTAGACAGATGTAGCAGAGGAGAGTGAGGAGCAGTGGTGGTGAGAATGGGGGCAGAATGTGGTTGAGGCTCAATGGAAGCTCAGCCTTCCCTGCACCACCCCCATCCATTCCCAGAACGTAGCTGAATCACAATGGGACCTTAACCCGCGCATTCTCTGCTTCCCCTGCTGCCCTTCTCCTTGGGGGCACAGAGCACACCTATCTTGTTCGCTTCTGGCCTCTCGGCAACGAGCCTGGCACTGGACCAGCCGTTGAATGAATCAACACCTGGGTTGGCTTGTGCCTGGAGAGGGGGAGTTGTGAGTCACGGGGTTGAAGTGGGGTGATGGTCAAGTGGGAGATGGGCCGAGAAGAAAGGGGAGCAGGAGTCAAGGCTGAGAGTCCCCCGGAAGGTCATCAGCTCACCTCCACGCTGCTCAGCCACTGCCGGACTGACAGGAAGGACTGCTTGGCTGTGAGGTCGTACATGACGATGACGCCATCGGCCTTCCTGAAAAACTGCTGGGTGATGCACCGGTACCTGCCACAGAGGGGCCACGGTCAGTGGATGCAGGGCCACGTGTTGGGGCGGGGGGAGGGGAAGGCAGGGCTGCAACTGGAGCTCCTCACCTCTCCTGGCCAGCCGTGTCCCACAGCTGCAGAGCCACCCGGGAGTCATCCACGGTCACCGTCTTCACCCGGTAATCGATCCCTGCAAGGTGGAAGCAGGCTGTCAGGGCTCCCGGTCAGAGACGTCCTCTCCAGACCAGGAGCCGACACCTGTTATGTGTCTGATCACATGAGGCCAAGGTCTGTCCACCTGTGCAGTTCCGGGAGGCAACCTGGGGTAATGGACAGAGCACCAAGCAGGGAGGCATCTATCCTGAGTTCGAGCCTGCTCTTAGCTGTGAGACCTGACCAAATCACCTAACCCCTCTGAGTCACGCTCTCCTTGCCCCAGTATAAGCCTGTGGTAGTTACATAATCTGGTGTCCATTTGAGGATGGAGAGTGTAGGGGTGGAGTCTAGGCTGTCAATCAGGATACAGCCAATGTGTGGGCATGGTCTTCCCCTAAGGATTCTGGGAATTCCTGTTTTCCTCCTTGGAGGCAGGAGACATGTTTCTCTCTCAGCTCATTCCCTGGGAGACTCTGTACTGACAAGGATGACTCCCAGCGAGACATCCCTGAGAAGCCACATGCACCCATCCTGATGCAGCCCTGGGTGCTGGAGGAGCCACTTGGAGACCCCTGCCAGTGCTGTGTGATGTTTAAAACACCACTGGATCCAAAGACTTTCTATCCACTGGCCTGTGATCATCCTGCATGCGGCGTCATTGCATGTGTTTTCTGAGCTCAGAAGAGGACTTTATAGAGTGGTATTGGACAGATGGGCTAGTATAGGACTTATGGACTTGATCTGGATTGGGCTGGGATGTTTTCTCAATGCTCAATTCCTCTTATACACAAACCTCTTTCTTAGATACATAAGAGTTTCTATGGATTTGTTTCTCTATAGTCTATCCGGTCTAACACAAAGCCCTACCCCTTTGCGTCACTGGGTGCTCTAGTAAGGACCCAAAGAGCTTCCGTGGGTGAAACCAACAGACCAATGCTTCATATGCATCAGTCTCTTCTCTCATTGGGGACATGGAGGAGTGACTGTCCCCAAATCAATGCTTTATTTAAAAATTTTGCCTAAACACATTTCCAGTTCCCCTATAAAACTCAAATGCTCCTGGGAGTGGGTCATACTTGAAGTCCCCTTCAACACGTCGAAAGGACTGAGATGTGGAGGGAGGGGTGTGTGAAAGCATCATTTACCCTCCGGACCGGGTTTCTAATGTACTCTGCACCGCAGGTCTTCACAATGAACACCCAAGCCCACTGCCATCCAGTCAATCCCAACCCAGGACAGCCCTGAAGGACAAGGGAGAATTGTCCCCATGGGTTTCTAAGACTCAATCTTTATGAAAGTAGAAAACCTCACTTTTCTCCTACAGAGTGGCTGGTGGTTTCAAACTGCTGACCTTGTGGTGAGCAATCCAGCACGTTACCCACTCCTTCACAAGGCCTCCTAAAAGAAGGAACAGGGGTGGCAAGTGAGTTCTATACCCCGGAACTTGCTGCCATTGTGTCAATGCCGACTCATAGCGACCCTGTAGGCTGGATCAGAACTGCTCCTTATGGTTCCCAAGGGCGTAAATTTTTGTGGGAGCAGAGAGCCTCAACATTCTCCCTTGGAGTGGTTGGTGGGTTTGAACTGCCAACCTGGTAGTTAGCAGCTCAAGGCTTAACCCACTCTATCCTTAAAGATAAGGACCTGACAAAAAGCCCGTTGGCTGGGCATTCCTCTCTCCTACAACCTGTAAGAAGCTGCACAGATGTTTAAAGATGTTGAGAAGCACCCCCCCCAACTCCGCCCCCATGGGACCAGTCTCTGAGAGCCTGGCCCTGGAAGAATCTGGAAGGGGAACAGAGAGCAGCGCTCACAGGCAGAGGCGGAGGAGACTGGACACATCACACAGAGGCAGTACATGGAAAAGGTCAGACCAGCATTGTCTTGGACAAAGAAGCGTGCATTCTGGGCCGGTGAGTGGAGGGGAGGCGGGGGTCTTTCACTCCACAAATGTCAGGGCCAGCGGGGCCTCGAGATGCCCTTTGCGTTACAGAGGAGGGCCAGAGAGGGGAAGGCAGCTGTCTGGGCAGCGACAAGTGACCGGCTCCCACTGGCAGGTAGACGGCTCCGCATTCTCACCATTTTGCACATGCTCCCTTGCCCATGCACACGTGCACACATGCGTGCACTGTGAGGGGAAGAAACACATCCAGAGAGGCCCTGCCTGGCCCACACCAGCACCACTGGGCACAGGGAGGCTGGGCAGCTTCCTTCAGCTGGGTGCGAATGCTCACACCCCAAGAGGTGGCAACCAGCTGAATCTGGCCTGAGCTTTCTGGGTGGTCTTCCTGGCCTGCGCTCAGGGAGCTGGAAGAGGCGGCCTGCTGTGAGCCAACACACAGGACTGCCAGCTCCGCCCTCCACCTTCCGTTGACTAGAGTGCCAACCAGCGAGCGGTTCTGAACAAAGCCCTCTCCTTGCTGGAAGGGCAGGCGGGCAGAGCCTGGGCCACCCTCAGCCTCCCTACCTGCCTAGCTGGCTAATTGCTTTGCCTGAGGTTAGGGAGCTGTGTCTCAGGGGAGCGGGGGTGGAGCCAGGACCTTCTGGGCTGTGCTGAACTAGTCCAGGGACTCCCTGCTGGCCGTGGTGTTCCCTCCCCAGTGCACAGGCAGGTGCCGAGGAAGCAGACACGCCCACAGGGCCTGGGAGCAGGAGGACAGGGGGGCTACACACCAGGATGAAGGACCAGAGGGCCTGTGGTAGACATCTTTTAAAGATAGCCGTCTGGGGCTGAGATTCCAGGACGGGCGGGGGGGGGGGTGACCTGTATCCTGAGTTCCGGCCTCAGCTTTGTCATTGGTCAGCTGTGTGACCTTGAGGGTACTGCCCCCCCTCGTTCTGAGGGGGCCTCGATTTCCTCGTCTGTCAAGTGAGGGAGGCGACGGGGGCATCATGGGTGATGCACCCAGTGGATGAGTGCCGCTGTTCAGAAGAGGGCTGGGCCTTGGAAGAAAGGCCTGGTGATCAACTTCCGAAGGAGCAGCCAGGGACAGCTGTGCTGCCCAGAGCAATCCTCGCACCCACCTGGGTTGCGGGGCCAGAGTGGACCCCAGGACTACTGGGTTTGGTTTTGCCGTCCAGAGGCTAGGGAGGAGTCAAGTTAGGGTGCTCATCATCTTCACGATGGATTCAGCTGGCGCGTCGATGATGTCATCGAGGTGATCCCCACTTGAAACCCAAAGGGTCGGCAGCCACCCCGTCACCACGGAGGGCGCTGCGGAGACGGCTGATGGGCTGCAGGGCTGCTGGCGCTAACGTCTCGGGGAAGACGGGGCAAGCTGACTTCTAAAGGGGGTCTACATTGGAGGGGGAAGTGCCAGGGAGTTGTCCTGAAGAAACAGCCTGCCAGGCCCTCCACTGAAAGCTCAGTGAAATGAGAAGTGGGTCAGAGATGGGACTGGCTGGTGGCCACGGATAGACAGAGGACGTTCTGCCCCATAAAGTTTGTGGGACAGACATCTCACGCAAGGTTGTGACCCTAATTTCTCACCTGCGGTTGGCTGACCACATCAGACCCTAGCATGGGGACTGATTGCCTCATGTCAGAACTGCCTAGCCACATCATGTCAGAACTGCCAAACCACTGAGAATCGTGGCCCAAGGACAGTGACACATATCTTGGGGAGGGAACAATTCGAGCCATGACACCGAGAGTCTAATTGAGTGCAGACCCCAATGGCCTCCGTGACAAAGGGGAAGGATGTGAAGCACCACTCCCACGGTGCCTTCGGACTCCGAGGTTTTGCACAAGCCATCATTTGATAACCTCAGGATGCCCAAGGGGCCCCGGCTCCTCGCTTTTGAAAGAATCACTGGGTCCTATGGACAGGGCCAGGGAAGCCAAGGCTGGCCTTGAACTCTGTTGACTTACTTGTGCGTAAGTCATTGGGCTCACCATTGCCCATCTGCAAGATGGGAAAGGAGGTCATTTTCACATCCCCCAGGTACTGAGAGGAAGATTCTTTGTGGAAGAGCTTCCTCCTTGGATGAAGAACCCCACAGCTAATTCTCAGTCTCATAGGGCAGAGGCACCATTTTGATTCAACATGCTGGATTCAACATGTATGTTGCCAGCAATATACATCTCCTTATTTTCTGACTCATCGACCCTATTTTGCTTGCCAAAGGGAGAAGGGCAAGGGTGACGCTCCTCGGTCCTTTGCAGTGAGTGGACCACAGTGGCCTCTCCTCCCCGCTCCTGCTCAGCTGCTGCTGGAGACTGGGGCAAGTGGGAGGTCTCAGAGTGCACACTCTGAGCCGTGGTGGATCTGCTGAAATCAGCGGTCTGTCGCCACCACACCGGCCCAGACTGGCATCATCACCATGAGACCAGATAAGTCCCCAGAAAGATGAAGGAGCCAGCCATGGGAGTATGGACCAGAAGAGCTTGCAGGGCCCTTTGACTGAGCAGACCTTTAAGGATGCTTTCCATGAACCCCAAGAGTCCCTGGGTGGTGCAAAGGGCAAATCACTGACTGCTACCTGGCAGACAGATGGGTACACCCAGCCAGAGGCCATCTGTAAGAAGGGTGTGGCGATCTGCTTCTGAAAGGTCATGGCTTTGGAAACTCTTGTGCTCTGCACACCCGGGACCACAACTGGGTGCCTGGCAGGGGTGCAGTAAGGGGGTGACAGGCCAGCTTCCAGGTCTTCAGAAGCCTCCATCCCAGAGTGGGCCACTTAGCCACACTCCATGGTGGAACCATGCCCACCCTCTTCTTTGACGAAGGGTCCTGCCAACTCAACCCCATTGATAGGCGAGGGGGCCGAGGCCTATGCCCACTGCTGTGTTATAACAACTCATACGATGCCCAAGCTGAGGACCAAGGACAATCATGGTCTGAGAGGGAGTGGGAGGCCAGGGCCAACGAGACTCATTAGGACCCTATAGGACAGGGCAGAACTGTCCCTTAAGGCTTATGAGGCTGAAAAGCTTTATGGGATAGACCGTTTCCTCGTTCTCCCAAGGAGCAACTAAGGGGCTCAAACCCTTGATCTTGTGGTCAGCAGCTCAACTATAGCCCCCTCAGCCATCAGGGCTCCTTTGGATGATGGAGGTCACTGTTAAAGTGCAGCAGAATCAAAGGAAACAGAGGAAAGCTCTAGGAAGCAAAGCTACAGATAGAGGTATTAACAAGTGTGTGCATATGTAAATACATTAATCCATAAAAACAGAGGCAATGGCCTATGAGCATATATTTATAAGGCAATACACTGAGGCTGCAGTCTGGCCTTGGGGCTCAGCTCATGCCCTCCCTCAATACAAGAACACTTCATTCTAACAAAATGGCATTCTGTGATGCTCACCCCCCGCTCCCCGACAAGGTCACTGAAGACAGAATGGGTACATAAGCAGAGGTGCTGAAGACAGCGGATGGTGCCCGGCTATTAAAAGATATAGCATCTGGGGTCTTAAAGGCTTGAAGTTAAACAAGCGGCCATCCAACAGTGAAGCAATAAGCTCACATGGAAGAAGCACACCAGCCAGTGCGATCGTGAGGTGTCATCGGGACTGGCTAACAGGCATCAGAAGATTCATAACAAACAAACAAACAAAAATGCGTTGGTGAGAATGAGGGGGTTGGAGCGGAGACCCATGGCCCATCTGTGGACAATGGAATATCCCCTCACAGAGGGGTGGCAGGGAAGGGATGAGTCAATCAGGGTGCAGTAAAGCATTAATGGGTCACGTAATATACCTCTGGTTCCTTGAGGCTTCCTCACCCCCCACTATCATGACCCCAGGGCTGGACTGGACTCTGGATTGGACGGGAGCATGTACATAGGTATAGATAAGAGATAAAGCCCATGGCACACGGAACCCAGGAACAGGAACAGGAATAGCGATACCAAAAGGGTAGGGGGAAGGTAGGGAGAGGGGAGGAGGAAGGGGGACCCAATTGTAATGAATAGCACATAACCACACACACCCCTCCAGGGGGAAGAACAACAGAAATCAGAGGGGAAGGGAGACAGTGGTCAGTGTGAGATATGAAAATAATAACAACCTATAATCTATCAAGGGGTCACAGGGGTGGGGGGAGAGAAAAAAAGAGGAGCTCATCCCAAGGGCTCAATAGAAAGTAAATGTCTGGAAAAGAATGATGGGATATATGTACTAATATGTCTGATACAATTGATGTATGGATTATAATGAATTATAAGAGCCCCCAGTAAAATGATCTTGTCAAAAAAAAACAGCAGAATCCCTGCTCCGTGACAGTGCCAGCCGGGGCTGCTGTCCTTGTAGGCATGGTGTTTGACCAGACCCCCAGCTGGGGTTGCACTGCTTGGGTGCACACGAGCTATGACCCCATGGCTCTGACCTCTTCAAAGGGCACGCCTTTCAGGTGGGAGAGCCTGGCCCAGAAGCTAATCGGAGCTGCTGCCCTGGCATGTGGGAGAGGGCCTACCCAACCAGGGAACCTTTGATTGTTACCCGCTCCCTAAATGGTCAGTGTTTCCGTAATTGGCCTCCTGAGAAGTGTCAATCAGTCTGTGTTTTCTCTTTTGCCGAGCCTTCCCTCTCAGGGTACAAGTGGGACATGTAAATGGACCCTGGTTTCATCACCAAGGGAGGCACACGGCATGTACTGCGCAGGCAGCTGTCTGAAGAACCAAGGTATTTACACGCCCTCCTCCCCTCTCCCCAGCTCTGGCCATGCTGGAGCCGTGGCCTGAATGCTTTCCTGGGAAGGCGAGTCCCACTCCCCACAACCGTGGTTTCCTGAGCACCTCCTCCTGAGCAAGGCCAGGCTCTCCTGGGATGCTCTCTGTGCTTGGGTGGAGTGGTAGAGATGGGACGGAGGGAGGGGGAGGAAAGGCTCAGTAACATGCAGGGCACAGCCTGTGGGAAGAGACCCACCTGCCGGAGAGAAGTGGAAGAAGGGAGAAGGGGCAGTTTCAGATGAGAGAAAGTCTTCTCAGGCCAGGCTCCTTGGCAGGACCTTCTGTCTGCTGAACCAGCTCGTCAGAGCCCAAGGCTGATGGCAATCATCAGGCTTGGGAGCAGTCTGAGGTTAGAAACCCAGTTAGTGACTGGTAGAACGGATTCTAGCTCAGAGAGCTCTGAGTAATTACTTAAATCATATCCATATATTTTCAAGTGCAGTTGCCTTACACACTCTTGCCTTAAATTCTGCATAAACTCATTGGTACTGAGCTGATGCAAATGCTTAGACACCTGCATGTGGCTTCTGAGGCTGTAAATCTTTACAGGGGTAGATGGCCCCCTCTTTCCCAAGGAGCTGCTGGTGGGCTTGAAGGGTCAGCCTGGTGGTTAGCATGCAATGCTCACCTCACAGTGCCACCAACACTCCTTAAACGGTCCCCTTAAAGCACCTAACTTGTACCTGAGTGACTCAACTTAGTGGAAGTAGAAGGTCATATAACTAACTCACAGCCATGGCGTTGATGCCGACTCATCGTGAATCCTCCGGGTTCCTGAGACCGTTAATGGTTTACAGGAGTAGAAAGCCCAGCCTCTCTCTCATGGAGCAGCTGGTGGTTTCAAACTGCCGACAATGCAGATCACGGCCCAATGCATAACAGCTACATCACCAGGGTTCCTAAAAGGTCCTAACTTGAACCTCAAACTCTTTTCCTCCTGGGTCTTGATGCAACTTGCAAATTTGGATTAAAGAAGTAATGGTCTCCCTTTTCTTGGGAGGCTGTCCGGTCCCATAAAGATGTACAACCTCAGAAACCCACAGGGGCAGTGCTGCCTTGTCTGACCTAGAGGGTCACTAAAAGGCAGAATTGATTCTATGGTAGTGAGTTTTGGGTGGGTATTAACATAAAATATTTCCTAAGAGTTGAAACACATTAAGCCATCCTGGGCAGTTTCCCTACCTGCCAGGGCCACACCTACACATGCAAGGGGACTTCAAAATGTTCAAGGGAAATGCCCAATATATTTCAATTCCATTTCTCCATAGGCTTGTGGAAGCCCCCCTCACAGAGGAAGAGGCAGGGCAGGGAAGCAGTTAGACCATTGTAGGAGTAGGGGATTGTGGTGATCAGCTACAGGGAAATGTCATGGGTGAAATTGTGTCCCCCCTCACCCACCAGAGATCTGGTGAAGTCCTAGTCCCTATAGCTGAGATGATGCCTCTGTTTGGAAATAAGGCTTTTGTTACATTAATGAGGTCGTACCCGTGTAGGGTCGGTCCTAACCCTAATTCCTACTGAAAAAGATAACACGGACATGGAGAGTCTCTCTCTCTCTCTCTCACACACACACACACACACACACACACACACACAC